TTGGGGACAAGGTCAGAGAGGACAGATTGAGATGGTTTGGACATGTGCAGAGGAGGGATAGTGGTTATATTGGTAGAAGGATGTTGGAGATGGAGCTGCCAGGCAAGAGGTCAAGAGGTCAAGAGGAAGGCCAAAGAGGAGATATATGGATGTGCTAAAAGAGGACATGAAGTTCATTGGGGTGAGAGTAGAGGATGCTGAGGATAGAGTTAGGTGGAAACAGATGATTCGCTGTGGCGACCCCTAACTGGAACAGCTGAGAGAAGAAGAAGAAGGATAACTAAAGTTATTGGGCACCTTCCTGTGTGCAATATGAGTACCTGTACAAATGACATTTTATGGCAATCACCCATCAATAGTTAGGATATTTCATTCTGGACCAAAGTGATGGATCAACACTGAATGCAGTCACACCACTCGTAGCTAAAAATACTTCACATATTTTATTTTGTTCATATAAAAGCATGAAACCAATGGAAACCTTTCAAAGGTGTTTTATGTGAATCCTTCCTATTTAGCATTTATGAACAATATAAATGGGTTGTATTATAACATATAGCAATGTAACTGTAAGCAAATACAATAGAATAAAATAAAATAGAAGAAAATAGAATAGAATAGCTTTATTTGTCATTGTACATTGTACAATGAAATTTAAAATGCAACACTTCTGTGCATAAATCATAAAAGAGTTACAATAGTTTTAAAAACCTAAAAGACTGTGTAAATAAATAAATATAAATACCGATAGTCTAAAAACCTCCTAATACACACACACAAACACATTTTTACATTCTGTGGGACTGTTGCACGATTCCAATATATCAACATGTCATAGTGGATATGTTGTGGAAAGTGTCAAGCATTTAGTGTGGGTATGGCTGTTTTTAAGTCTAGTTGTCCCTGTTTTGATTGCCCAGAATGTAGTAGTTCAAACAGGTTGTGCCCAGGTTTGGAATGGTCTCTCAGAATGGCATGAGCTTTATTGAGGCAGTGGGTGCCATACAATTCTTCCAAGGAGGGGCAGCCAATAATCTTCTGGGCAGCATTGATGACCCTCTGGAGCTTTGCAGCTGGAGAACCACACACAGATGCAGTACATTAGTATGCTCTCTATGGAGCAGTGATAAAAGGTCACAAGCAGTTTCTGTGACAGGAGGTTTTTTCTGAGTATCCTCAGTCTCTGCTGTGCTTTCCTCACCAGCAATGTGGTGATGACACTCCAGGTCAGGTCCTCCTCCAGGTGCACGCCCCAGAACCAGGAAACTGCCACCCTCTTCACACCGTGCCCCCCCGATGACCAGGGGCTGAATGTCTGTTTTGTTCTTTCTGAAGTCAGTAATCAGCTCCTTAGTCTTAGTAATGTTAAGCATCAGGTTGTTGTCATTGCACCACTCAGACAGCCACTCCACCTCATTCCTGTAGGCCAACTCATCCCCCCCGAGATGAGCCCCACCACGGTGTCATTCGCAAACTTGATTATGCTGTTGCTGGGATGAGTGGGGAGACAGTCGTGGGTGTAGAGCAGGGGACTCAGCACACTACCCTGTGGTGAGCCAGTGCTCAGGCTGAGAGCTGAGGAGATGTGGGTGCCAACTCTCACCCTCTGTGAGAGGTCTGTCAGGAAGTCCTTAATCCAGAGACAGATGGAGTGAGATAGTGCCAGGTCTGATAGGTTGTACACAGGTTTGTGAGGGAGGATGGTGTTGAAAGCAGAGCTTAAGTCCACAAAGAGCAGCCTGGCGTAGGTCCCCTTCTGCTCTAGGTGGGTCAGACCAGCGTGAAGACTTGTGGCCATGGCATCCTCCATGGATCTGTTTGATGTATATGCAAACTAGTGTGTATCTAACCTGGGTGGGAGGCAGGATACAATATGATCCTGGATCAGCTTCTCAAAGCACTTCATGATGATGGGTGTGAAAGCGACTGGCCAGTAGTCATTCAGGCTGCTGATGGTGGTCTTCTTAGGAAGAGGGACTATGGTGGAAGATTTGAGGCAGGGTGGAATGGTGGACTGGGATAGGGAATGGTTGAAGATCTTAGTGAAGACCCCAGCCAGCTGGTCTACGCAGTCCTTCAGCACCTGTCCCAAGACCTGGTCTGGAGGTCCTGAAGGTCCTGCCACCGTGAAGAGGCAACTGCTGTGGGCTGGTGGGTGTGCTGTGGCCGCATCCCATGACTCCACCAAAGAGGTAGTTAAGTCACTCTGTCAGTGCTGCATCACTCTCAGCAGCCATGGTGTTGCTGGACTTATAGCTGGTGATGTGCTGAATCCCCAGCCATACCTGCCTTGTGTTGTTGTTATCAAAAAAGTCCTCAATCTTCCTTTTATATGCTGCCTTGGCCTTTCTTATACCTCTCTTCGGGTTGGCTCTGGCAACACTGTACTGTGCTCCATCACCAGAGTGTTTCTGTCTCTCAGCAGGCCTCGGACCTATTTGGTCACCCAGGGTTCCTAATTGAGTAACACCCAAATGGGCTTGTCCACAGTGATAGTGTCCGTGCAGTGTTGAATATAACCCAGTATAGACACTGTGTACTCCTCTAGGTCCTGATGTCCAAATATGTCCCAGTTTGTTCTCCCAAAACAGTCCTGCAGTTGAGGCACCTTCCGGCCATGATTTAACAGTCTTTGAGGTGGTAAGAGCTCTTTTCCTGAGAGGGGTGTGTGCTGAAATTAGGAGTGGGGACATATGGTCAGACTAACCCAGGTGTGGTAGAGCTTTAGCCCTGAAGAACCTTAGTATTTAGTAAGGCATTCATAACAAATTAAAAACTTTTTCTATAAGCAGCATCTGTAACTGGTGTGTAACATTGTAACCACTGGAAAATTCTAGCGAGTATACAATAACTGTTGTGATCATGTGTAATCATGTAAAATTGTATACATTCATTTATTATATTTATAAATAACATATAGATTTTACAAAAAAATTGTTCAATAATTCTTCATCTCAATCTACTTATAAAGGTCATGAGATATAGCTTCAAGGTCTGAATTTGAATTTATCAATCAACCTACCTGTGAATAATCTGTGCACGTGTAAGAGCAGTTTGCTAATGCTATATTAAACAATGCAAATACTGTATATGTGCATGTGTCAAGCCATATGTTCTTAAGCCTACATCTTTTGTTGTATGTTGTATGTATCTTCTAATGTATGTAGGACCTATACAGCTGTTGTATTTCAGCCTAATTTTTGGAAGAATAGGGTCCTTGGATTATGTATCAATCCAAAAATTGATCCCTGTCCACCCACATATTTTTTGCTGCCTGTATATAGGCTTAAAGCACTCTAAGAAAAATAACATTTCTGTTGAACAGTAACTTAAACATGTAATATATTCAGTGCAGGCTATACAGTATGTTTTTTATGCAGTGACTGTGCACAACGTGGCCTTGAAGGTAGGGGCAGAGTGTTCTCCACCCACATGACTATTCATCATTTAGGTCTTCACACAGCTCTGACATCCAATCACAATATTTAATATCTGACATTCTGGTTCCAAATGCTGATAACACCGATCACCACAATGCAAATATTTCTGACTGACTGCAAAACTTCTCCAGCACTTTAGTCTTAATGACAGAATCTGCAAATATAATTATTTCTGTAAGAAAACCCAGCCAGAGATAGCAGAGAGAAGCTGTCATCTATTGTTTTCCAGTCCGTGTCCTCCAACTGAACTTCACCACCCGACAGTTTAATTGGTTTCAGGGAATCGGGTGTGAAGAGGAGTCATGACCTTGATCTTTCTCCCTGATAAATGCTTTTTTCTTCTTTTTACCAACTATACATGCAAATATGCAGAATGTGTGTGTATGTGTTTGAGAGTTGAGAGGGAGGTAAACAGATACAAATTGTCTAATTTTATTGTGTGTTTAGTGGCTGATTAGAGGCCTAATTAAATTCAGTGTTCATGAGTTCAGAGGCAAACAGAGGAGACACTGACCCTACGACTTCCAGTGCACCCCGGGGAGCATCTGAACA